TGCAGTTTGTGTTTCACCAATGATGGAGGAAAGAATTGGCTTCAATCTGTGTGTTAGTACTTTAGCTAGAATTTTGTAAAGGGAACTTACAAGGCTGATGGGTCTGAATTCAGACAGGCCAGTGGGATTGTCTACTTTGGGTATCAGACTAATAAAAGTGCTGTTGATGCCATAGGTCAGTTTGCTATTTGAATGGAAGTCCGCAAAAAATTACATAATCTCGGGCTTCATGACCTTCCAAAATTTCTGATAGCACAACAAGTTAAAACCATCAGGGCCTGGAGCTTTGTTGCTATTGCAGTCCTTAATTGCAGCCAAAACCTCAGCTTCGCTGAACTCTGAGACCAGGTGTTGAGATACATAGTCTAACCCAATGGTCTTGTAAACCCCTTCCAAGACAGGTCTTGTAACCCAATCCTCCGCAAACTGTTTCTTGAAGTGTTGATTGACCTCAATTTTAACCCTGCGAGGATCCTCATGAGATACCCCATTAACTTCGATAGAGTTAATCATGTTCCTGCTCTGTCTGGCATTGGCAAAAACATGGAAAAACCTAGTATTCTTATCCCCATTGAGAGTCCAGTTCAATCTGGATTTTTGGTGCCAAATCCACTCCACCATCCTATGAAGCTTCCACATCTTACCTCTAACCACTCTTCTTCTTGCCAATTCAGCTTGAGCCAGAGGTCTGCCACACTTGCAACCTATCTCTCCTAATTTATTATCTAATGTAAAAGACCACATTCGATAATTTTAATCAATTTTTTTAAATTTTTTTTGTATTTAATGCTTGTAAGGTATGATCAATTCAAAGTTAAAAGAGTGTGATGTTAAAGCATCAGCATCAGTCTAACTATAATAGTTTTAGGGCTATATTAGTAAGGCAAGGTTCAAAATTACTCCTGCATCAACTTGACTACATCAAAATTGAATTTGACATTGATATAGTATATCACTTGATGTAGCGATGCAATATTCATAAATTATGCAATATTTTATTATTTATTCTAGAGAGTGGCAAGAGAAAGGAGGACAATTGACAGAACATCGCAGGACAATCGGCTGCTGTACCAAAACTTCAAACTCATCAAATCTTGCTTTGTTTTCCTAGGGTTCAGCAAATCATATGCAAAATGATCCAGTAGATCATTTTCCTTAGAAAAGAAAATGACTAAAAATAAATACTTTATAAAATTAAATTTTAAAATAAAAAGTTTGATATAGTGTGTACTTACACACAAAAAAAAAAAAAAAAAAAAAAAAAAAAAAAAAAAAACATATTAACTAAAATATAGAAGTAACTTTTTAATCATAATTTGACTCAAAATTTGTCACTCTGATTCGGATACACTTGTACATAGCTATCTATGTTGTCCACTTTTAGGCGTCGTTTGGCAAGTGATTTTTTTAGTCAAAAAGTAAAAAAAAAATTACTAAAAAAGTCAAAAAGTCAATAATTTATATCAAAAAGTCAAATATTTCCTTTTCTCTCTATTCTTTACACATCTTTTTGTGAAAAATTAAAAAGTCATCCCAAACATACTAGTTTTTTCTACATCATATTTTAGTCAAAAAGTAAAAAAGTTACTAAAAAAGTATGTTCCCAAACGGGGCCTTAGAAGAGATAAAAGCATAAGGAAAAATGAGTGGTAGCTCGAAATTACTGTGGCCCAAATGGCTCGACATCCAAAAACGATGTCGTTTTGGGCTGTCTTTTTTTTTTTTCTTTCTTTTCTTTTCTTTCTTTCTCTGTGTTCAAATACAGAGGGAGAGAAGAGACGAAGGGAGAGAGAGAGAGAAGAGAGAAGAGGAAGAGGAGGAGAAGAGGAAGAGAGGGGGAGACACTTCTACAACCAACTACCCATCTCGTCGTCTTTGCGCTGCCATAGCCAGGTCTTCTCTTTCCTCGTTGATCTTTCTCTCTCCTAGATCTCATCAATCTCTGCAAATCTCCAATGCATTCCCAAAAATATCAAAATTTATATAGATTTGGACCATTTCGGGCATCCTCCAATTTTTGTTGATCTTTCAAATTTTTCTTTTTTCTTTTTTTTTTCTCCTTTTCCTTCATCTTCAATCCAGATCTTGTTGTTGATCTGTAGAACCAAATTGTTTTTTTGTTGATGTTGATGAACCCAACAGCCAAATTTTTTTTTTTTTGTTGATGTTGATCTGGATTGACTAATGAAATGACCTTTGATAGGGCCGCGTGGAGAAGAAGGATTCATGTAGCCGACCCCATTTGATGAGACGTAAGGCTTGGTTTGGTTTGGTTTGGTTGATCTGGATTGAAGATGAAGGGGGAAAAAAAAATTGTGGATGAAGATGTTGATGATGGTGATCTGGATCTGTCGATCAAAATTTGTGGATTTGTTTTCATCATAAAAAATCTGTGGATCTGCAGAAGATGATGAAGAGAAAAAAGAAAAAATTTGTTGATGAAAAATCTGCAGAAAAACGCAAAAAAAAGAAAAAAAAAAAAGAAAAAAAAAGAAAAAAAAATAAAATTGATATTAAGGTGAGTTATATTATACCTTGAGTCATCATGATATATTTTACGTATGTTTTGAGTTTTTTTTTTTTTTTTTTTTTTGTTGATGTTGATCTGGATTGAAGATGACGGAAAAAAAATTCTGTTGATGAACCTAGTCAGATTAATTGCTTAAAATATGAAGGAAATGTAATGCAATAAATATTGTTAATTTAAGAATAAATGAAGAAAGGTGGACCAGATCTTCTTCTGCGGCATTGCATTACATTATGTCTTCTCTCTCTGTGTATTCTGCATTTTTCTTCTTCTTCTTCTTCTCTTCTTTTTCTTCGTCTTCAGCTTCAGAAATGGCGAAAAAAAAAAATGACACGAAAACGACTCGTTTTGGTGTCGAGCCAAATTCGAGCCTCCGAATTTCAAGCTACGAATCGGAACTGTACAAAAAAAATCCAAGGTTTGATCCTTGTAACAAAATAAACTTTTAATCTTTAATGTTGTCAATTTAAATCCTAATATTTTGATTTATTTTCAATCTAAATTAGTTGCCTTGTTCAAAAAAAAAAAAAAAAAAAAAAAAAAAAAAAACTATTTACCTATTTTCGTTAACTAAAACCAACGAAAAAAATATTATTTTATTTATTAAACTCAATATAATTATATATAAAATATTTAAAATATCAATTTTCAATGAGTTTAAAAGTCTCTAAAATATCATTTTCGATCAATCTTACTAATTAACGAAAATAGGCAAATAGTTCAGATTGAAAACAAATCAAAAGTTCGGGGCTTAAATAGATAAAATTAAAAATTTATGATTTATTTTGTTATATGGGTCAAATCTAGAACGGCCTTTTTTTGCTTATTATTTTTTTTATCACTAATACTACATATCAAGAAATTTTATCTATTATTATCTAAAAATATTGATATATAAATATCATTTTCGATCAATTTTACTTAACGAAAATAGGTAAATAGTTCAGATTGAAAACAAATCAAAAGTTCGGGGCTTAAATAGATAAAATTAAAAATTTATGATTTATTTTGTTATATGGGTCAAACCTAGAACGGCTTTTTTTTTATTATTATTTTTTTTATCACTAATACTACATATCAAGAAATTTTATCTATTATTATCTAAAAATATTGATATATGATATAGATTCATTTTCATAGATAAATCGCATAATACATGTAATTTTTTAGCAATAATTGAGACACAATTTCTCTGCTCCCAGATACTGCTAATTTTTGAAATCCATTTGTGACCATGTAGTTTTAGCTTGTTGCTCGTTACGAGCATTATTTCGATAATTATAACTCATGATTTAATTATATTTGTTTAAAAAAATAAATAAATTTTGACAACAAATATAATAATATAATATTAGAAATAGGCTGTTCATTTTTTATTTTATTTTTTAAAAAAACTAATATAATTGAAACAATTTGATTTTTTATGAATAATCACTATAACATATAAGAGTATTTGGTCTCTAAAAACAAAAATTTTGTTACAAAAGACATTTAGGGACCAATATCTATCATTATGAGGATAGTCGTTAAAAGATCGTCCCGAAAAGTAAAAAAAAAAAGAAGCTTTTAGAGACAATTTTGAAAATGTCACTAATAAATAGATTTTTAGAGACAAGATAATTTGGTCACAAAATAGTTTATTTTTTGAGACAAAAAATTTGATCCCACAAGGATAATAATTCATCACTGATGTCTAATTTTTGTTGCTAAAAATATAATAATGACATTTTTCGCAACAAAAATATTTAGTCCTTAAAAAATAATTTTGTTCCCAAATTTTAGTCTCCAAAACCTTAATTTTTTGTATTGAATCTCTTCACAACAGCTTTAAAATTAAGACTCCATTTAAAAATTGATTATTTTAATTAATTTTTATTTTTTTAAGAAAAACGTTGATATAATTAAGTATATTTTTTGACTTTTTATAAAAAGATATACAGAAAAATAAAGAGGTAATGTGACCCAAATAAGTGCACTTATTTAATTTATGCCAAATAGTGCCTAATATGACAATTTATAATAAGTGTTTAATTTTTTAACTAAAATCAAACTCCTCAAACATATCACAACAAATCAAATAATCAGAATAGAGAATTAGGTTTCAAGAAAAAAAAAAAATAATAAAGAAAAATTTTATGAAACTTTTAGCAATAATCTAGTGTGATAGGTAATAAACACAAAAAAAAAATGACTTACCTTAATGTAAGTTTTAAAATCTTAATTTGTAAATAGCATAAATTTGCCCTATTAGTGTACGTGATTATATATATAACATATAATAAAATATTGCAGAAATCTTCATAAAAGGTCAAAGTAAAAAGTAAATAAATCTAAAAAGTCAAGGTGAAAAATGAGTGAGGCTTTAAGATGATAAAGTGTAATTTACCCTATAAATAAATATATATTTTAGAAGTGGGTTAAAGAATAAACTTGATTAAGCCTTTTACCTCCAACTAAAACTCGACTATTTCAAGCTGCAAGGTCTTCAGGTTTTAGACACACGCACACACAGAGTCATCAAAGTCATTCTCAAGTCCACCACCACAACAATGGAAGAAAATCACCATTGTTATTACATACCCAAATTCACCACCTTTACCACCACCACCACCACCACCACGACAATTATCATCATCTTCTCCACCATTTTCTTCATTCTCCGGCGATTCCTTGGCGGCCGCAGCCACCGCCTTCGAGCCTTCACCTTCAAGCCTAACCCTAAAAACAAAGAAACCTTTTACTGTGCAGTGTGTCTACACAATGTTGCCGGCGGCGAGAGGTGCCGGAAACTGCCCAAATGCAACCACTGCTTCCACGTGGACTGCATTGACCGGTGGTTCGAAACCCGGTCCACTTGCCCGCTTTGCAGAACCATAGTTCATCATCTTCCTACCAAGAAACAAAAACAGAAATCTGTTTTCTATTGGTTTCTTTGGTTTTCCAACCATCTTCTCAGGAAAATTGGGAATCTTATTGTTGATGGGATTACCAAGGCCTTTTTGGAAGATAGTTGAGGTACTTTTCCTAGATTTCTTCATTTTTTTTTAACCGTAATGATACATAAACTCTACGGAGCAGCTCTAACATGGTAAGGTAAAAAAATAAATAAATAGATAAACAAAAATAAAAAAGGGGCTAAAACATCAAATTAATGTGTGTGCCCCACCTATTAGAGCTCTACAAAAACTATTGTTTTAGAACTTCCAAATATTTTTATATTTTTTAATTTGTTCGGAGAATTATTATGGTGATCCTTGTAATTTGTTTTTGGTGTTAATTGAGTTTTTATAATTTTAATTGTATTTTTTTTTTTCTATTTACTCTAGTCTAATTTTAATGTTCTATTTGAAAGGAAATTCATCATTTCAAAATGAATGATAAGTCTTCAATTATTTTGAGTAAAATAAATGAACTATTTTGGTTTGGTTTTAATTTGTCTCTCAAAACTAGTTTTTGGAAAAAAAAAATTCACAAGAAATGGGTTTTTCTCCGGTCCATACAAACTAGAATGAACCGTATTGTTAGATTTGGAGTTACCATAGGTCCCGTTTTGATGATTCAAATAATTTAATATGTAAAGTTCATCGAGTATTTTATCTCTGCAAAAAATAAGTTGATCGAATATTGATAACCTCTTAATCGGAACACATATCTGATCAATTTCTAATCAACGTGATTTTTTTGCAGGGATGAAATACTCAATGAACTTTACACATTGAATTATTCGAATCATCGAAATAGGATTTATGGCGGCCCCCCAAACTCAATAGTATGGTTCAATCCGCTTTATGTGGATTGGAGAGAAGCCTATATCATTCCAAAAAGATGTTTGGTTGAAATTTTTTTAGAAAATATTCTAAAATTATTTTTCTCTCTACTACACATCAATTAGTCGTTTTTTTTTTCTCTCATCTTTCCTTCTCAATCACTTTTTCTCTTATACTCATCTATTTAATTACAAAAAAATATCAAATCATTCAAAATTCCAAAGTTCAAAACAATTTTCAAAATATACAACGAATTTTTTTTTAAATTTTTTAAACTCTTCAAAAAATTATTTTTAAAATAATATCTTCAAATACAAATCAAACAAGTCCTTTATCTCTCGATTTTAGTTCAATTAATCCAAAATTTAAAGGGTGTTATTAAAATTGGACGTTGGTTTAGAATGGATTTTTTAAATTTAAAAAAAAATTGTGTTTGAAAGGTTGTTAAATAAGATTATTTTTGTGAGTGGAGAAGACTAATACTGACATTTCACTTTTTTAAAAGAAGGCAATTGGCTTGGTGGATTTTTAACCCTTCTTTTTTTAAAGCATTTTTTTTTTTGGGGGGGGGGGTGGGTGGGTTTGTTTTATTCAGGACCCACGCCTACTAAATTGCAATAATGTGAAAAAAAAAAAATACAATTAGAACTATAACCTAGAGTATAATTTCCTTTCTTTTTCAACCTCTAATTACTCATGTTATAATATTCAATACAAGCAAAAATCAAGCAGAAAAAAAGTTACGATATTACTAATATAGTTGGGGAAAAAAAAAGTAAAGTGGACAATTAAACGAAATGGCCGATAAAAAGAACGGTTTGAATCATCAAAATTGGACTCGTGGTGGACTCTATAAGCAATTTTCTATAAGTGGGCCTACATAGATCAAATTATTATACATTATATACTATTAAATGAAGAATGAGTGGTGTCAATTAAACCTATTAAATTATGATCTGCAGAAACATGACTAGGTCAGGGACTTATCTCTAACAACACATATTTTTGGTCATGCTATTTGCATTGAAGGAGTATGGGTTAAACTATATATGTAGAGACTAGTTTGACCCACTTGTAATTCCATTTATTTATGATGGGCTAATATAGAATTGAGACTTTATATGTATGTGGCTAAGGTCCACAATCCAATCCTAACTTCCATCTCATATTTTCCCATCGGTATGCGAGAGCAAAACAAGAGTAGGATTTTGAAGCGGAAGACAATAACCACTAAGAAATCTACCGTTTAGATTGGCGTCAAATACATAACAATTATTATTTTCTTCTATTGATTTGACTTGAGATTTTGGGATATAGATTTCTTTTGAAATCCCACAAGTGGTATCAGAGTTTCTTGTCAAATCATTGAAGAAAATATAAGACTGTGTTTGGAGCAGCTCTAGAAGCATGATTGCAGAACTGTTTTCAATGCTTTGTTTAGTTAAAGTTTTTAAAAATTAATTCCAATATAACATTCTAAAACTCATTTTAGCTTCTGTTTGGAGAAGCGAGTTTTTTTTTTTGAATTTTGAATTTTGAAAAGCCCGACTTGGGTCTACTCGGTCATCCTCCTGGACGTTCGGGTGGTTCGGGACAGTGTTTTTTTTTTTTTTTGGGTACAATTGGCACCTGTTATTTGGTGAAAAAATGGGAATTTTGTTTTTGATTTTTTTAACAAAAATAATATATATATTTTTATATCTTAAATCAAAAATATTTTAAAAAATAATTCCAACTAAATATACAATCAAAAGTTATTTTAAAGCAGTAATTAAATATTTATTTTGTAATATTTTCAATTAAAAAAAATTATGTTGTTTTTTTTAATAATTATTTTTTTGAATTGAATTTTAAAAAGAGTTTGGTTATAAGTTTTGAATAGAATTTTCAATAGAGTTTTGAGTTGTGTGCTTGGTTATGAGTTATAACTTTTTGAATTAAGTTTTGAAAATTCTTTTCAAAATTTATAACCAAACAAATTTTCTTATTTCACATGTTACATCAAACATTCAAAACTCAATTCAACACTCAACTCAAAACTTAATTCAAAACTCATTGCCAAACAAATTTTCTACACTCAAATCATAATTCCAAAACTCACAAACTCAAAATACAATTCTATACACAAATCATATTTCTAAAACTCTACCAAATACTACCTAAAATTTATTTTCTTTGATTCATGAAATAAGTTATTATATGACCTTGATGAAAACATAATGAAATAATGTAATTCAATTTTGTGTTAAGAGTTTTGCTTTCATTTTATTTTTATATTTTTGTTCGTGCTTCTGCTGTTATGTGCGTAATAAATTAAAACCATAACAGCCTATGCAAAGTTTTATACAATAGATGGGAGGCTATTATTTATTATTATTATTTTTTTTACAGCATAGATTTAAATTCTCTTTGTTATTGATTATAAATTTAAAAAATAAAATAAAATACTAAAGAGAACATATGGTTATAAAAAAATCCAATGCTGTCACATACGTACAAAGCACCTTTTGAGTCCATGGTGTTGGGTTTTTAAGGCCAACCCATCTAAACTACCAGAAATCAAACACACAATAATAAATACAAGATTTATATGGTTTGGCCTCAATGCCTATGTCCACAAAGAGAACTGGAGATTTCTACTAAAACAAATAGAGATTACACAGAGGAGAAGACACTCTCACTCACCTCACACACTCTCTACTGCCTTACATTCTCTGATTTTTCTCTCACTCACACAGATTGTGTTATTCCTTGTATATACCTTGTAAGCTAACTCAATCAATATATATAGAGAGTTTAGAGATACAGTTCATTCCTCACCCATGTGAAGGTAAGACGTTCCACTTCCCTTATGATAACTTGTCTCCTTAGCTCCTCCATTGTTAAAGTTGGTAGCTTTTTTCAGTGGAGAGACATCATCCTCTATGTAATCTTTATTTGTTTTAGTGAAAATCTTCAGTTCTCTCTGTGGATGTAGGCATTAAGGCCGAATCACGTAAATCTTGTGTCTGTTATTGTGTGTTTGATTTCTGGTAGTTCAAGTGGGCTAACCTTAAAAACTCAACAATTGGTATCAGAGCTTAGGTTGAGCAAATGAGGCAAAATAGAGGCTCGGTTAGTCTATTTTTCTGAAATTGCCAGAAATCAAGTTGCTCAAAATTCACTTTTGAGCATACCGGGAAGAAGGTCTCGACAAGAGGAGTCTAGACCTAGAAAGAATAGGCAAAAAAAAGGTCGGGGTGTCCCATACGTGCCAGTCAAAGCTTGGCGCATAAAGTCAACTTTGAACCAGAAACCCACGCGCAGCTAGAGACTGAAGGTGACCTTTTTTTAGCCAATCCATATACTTTAATTATTTATTTGGGAAAAAAAATCACAAGCGTGAGTTTGGCTCAATGGTTAAGTCTCGTGGTCTTAACTCCTTGGTTTGGAGTTCAAGTCCAACATTGGAAGATTTATATTTTTTTGGTATTTTCCACCTTAGCAAAGGAATGCTATGTCAGTAGAAAGTTTCAAAATTTGCATACTGGGCCCTAGAAGTTTGGTAAATTGCAATTTGGTTCCTAAAATTTTCAAAAAATTACAATTTGGTCACTAAATTTTTGAAAATTTTCATTTTGACCCCTGTAGTTTGTGAAATTACAATTTGGCCCCAAGTGTTTGGAAATTTTGCAATTTAGCCCCTGGTTTTTGGCTTATTTTTAGTTTGGCCCCTAAAGAGGAAGAAAGCTTGTTCCTAGCTAAATCGATAGTTTTGGTCGCAACTGCGAGGTCAGAATAGTCTAATTCTGGACGATTTTTTGAGGAGATCAAAATGGCAGGAAAATCTGCAAGTTTCATAATAAAATCTTTCAATGGAAATTATGATTTTACCCTGTGGTAGCAAATGGTGAAACACATTCTAACATGGGAGGGCTTGGTAAAAGCTCTTAACAAAAAGTCTAACAAACTAGCAGACATGAAGGATGACAAGTGGGTAGAATTGAGAGAGCTGTGAAACAGCATGATCTAGTTATATCTCGGGAATAACACACTCTGAGAAGTCATTAATGAAAAAGATCTGGCAGAGCTATGGGCAAAGTTGGAAATGAGGTACAAGTCAAAGTCCTTGATAAATCAATTGTCTTTGAAGAAACAGTTGTACACACTTTAAATAACAGAATGAGCAAACCTTACAAAACATTTGGATGAGTTCAACAGGCTCACAATGGAGTTGGAGTCTATCAGAGAGAAGATCGAGGAGAAATATAAGGCTATTATCTTGTTTGTATCCTTACCTTCATCATATGAGTATCTCAAGACTACTCTTATATACGAGAAGGATACTCTTGGACTAGATGAGGTGGTTGCTACGCTTATTTCTCATATAGTGATGAAGAAAAAGGAAAACAACAAG